CAGATGGTGTGGTTGGTGAACGCTCCTAGTCTCATTTTTTTCACCTCTTATGTTCTTATTTTCACGTCGTTATTCTTCTGTTTGTCTGCCTTTGTCTCCTGACTGCCTCTTGTTGGTGCGTTTTTCGGGGGATTTTCTTTTCTCACGTGTTTTCTTTTATTTTTAACTTCATCATTTTCTTTATTTTTTTGCGAGTATTATTACATGTTCATTCTTCTGTTCCTACGGGTTTTTTTTTTCGTATCTTTTCGCTATTTTCCCTTTATATTTTTTGCGTTTTTTTATTTTGTTTTTCCTATATTTGTTTTTCTTGTTTGGGCATTGGTTGTACTTGTATATTTTTTTATCTTTGTGTTTTTGTTTTGTTTTAATATTTCCTCGTTTCTGTTTTGTTTCTGTTATTTTATGTTTGTATTCTACTTCTTGTTTTGTCTACGTAATGAAATACTGTTTTTTGGTATGTGTTATTATTATTACTTCTCTTTGTTCATTTTAAACCTGTTTATTCGTGTTCTCGTGTTATTATCATTTTGTTTATTTTCATGAAAGTTATTCTTATTTCTCTTATTAATCTTTTATCTTTTTGCTTTGTTATATTTATTTGTTGCTATGTTGTTGCATTTGTTTCCTTATGAAATGAATTAATTTAGGATCACTATAATTAAACCTTCCTGGCTTATTTAACTGTAATGAAGGGTAATAGGTTAGGTTAGGTTAGTTAGGTTAGGTTAGGTTAGGTTAAGTTGTCTGTAGGTTTTGCTTACGTCACGTTAAGTTAAATTGGTTTGGTCTGGAGAGCGAAAATAGGTTAGAAGGTTAGATTAGCTTAGTTAGGTTAGGTAAGGTTAAGATAGGTGACTTCAGGTGAAATAAATGTTACAATAATTTGTCTTAGTTATGTGAATGATTATTTTGTGCTATCTGTTTATCTGTGTTTTTGTCAGTATGATAGTTAACCTTATCAGCTTATTGTGTAGTCTCCTTAAACCACTATGTAATGAGTTTATATTATTTTAGTCAATGTTTGTTGCTTGGGAGTTCATTTAAATTTACTGTGTGTGTGTGTGTGTGTGTGTGTGTGTGTGTGTGTGTAGAAGGAGGAAGGGTAGAGGAAGTTTTATTCTGTGTTTTTGCAGAGGATTGTTTATGTGTTCCTGTATGTTTTTGTCGTGCTGTTTGAGAATAATGTGTTTTTATTCCGTCTGAGAGTATGTTTGTGTGTGTGTGTGTGTGTGTGTGTGTGTGTGAGAGAGAGAGAGAGAGAGAGAGATTTTGATTGGGACAAGAGAATGGGAAGGAATGTAAGAAAGCGAACGAGAAAAATACAAAAAGAATAATAAAACAAAACAGACAGACAGACAGACAGCCAAACGTGACAGGCAAAATATTTCTTCCAATAACAAAAGACCCAAAATAAATGAGAATAAAATAATTTCGTCATTCAAGATTCATCCACACTTCCCACACCACCACGAAGACATTCTCACTCGTAATAATGTCACCTTTAGAAATAAGTTTACAAGAACATATTACAAATATTTCTGATAATTTGTATATATTGGAATGGTTTTGTCGCCATAATTGAAGTGTCTCGTGGTAGTGTTTGTCACGGTGACGTCAGGAGGCCACGGTCGGTGTTTATTGATTGTGTGAGTCTGTGAGGGACGGGGGGTTATTTCATCTTTTGTTGGTCTTGGTTTTTATTAGTGAAGCGAGTGGTTGATGGAAGAAAGACTCTCACACACACACACACACACACACACACACACACACACACACACACCGCCATCTCGAGAACGAAAAACGTCTGTAGCTGTCGCCTTCATTGATTTCACTAAAGCGTTCGACCTAGTCGACCACAATATAATCATCAACAAAGCTATTGACCCCGGGCTTCGGGAGAAGTCTTATACCATGGCTTACAGACTTCCTCAGTGACCGACGCCAAGCTGTACGCTTCCGAGGGGCTGTCTCCACCTTTCAGTCACTCACCTGTGGCGTCCCCACAACACCAAGATGGGACCACTCTGCTTCCTTTATGCTCATCAATGATGCCCTAAGAGAAACCCCGCTCGCTGGAAATATGTCGACGACTCCACCATTGGGATCAGCGTCAACAATTCTGCTCCCAACTATACCGCCCTTCAGGATTTATTGAACAGTCTCCAAAACTGGGCCACCAACAACCATGTCACCATCAACCATACCAAGACCATGGTTATGCACATCAACCTCTCCTCCGACATTGTCCCACCTTCCATTACTCTAGGTCCGAACACACTCCAGGTTGTAGATTCCACGAAGCTCCTCGGCGTCACCATAGACAACAAACTAAATTGGAAACCACACGTCAGTGAAGTTGTCAACCCTCCAGTTTGTCCCCACCTCCTCCGCCGACTCAAGTCCCCGGAGTTCCTGCAACGAGCTCCTCAGTGTTTACACAACATTCATACTTCCCAGCTCACCTATGCCTCCCCACCTGGCCTTCCCTAAATGCCACACAACGTAAACGCCCAGAAAAGTGCAAAAGAGGGCATGCAAGATTATTCTCTCCCCTTCCTACTCCACATATCAAGAAGCGCTCAACACACTGACCCTCGACTCGACCATCACCACGACCTCATCTGCAAATTTGGTAAGAAGCTACACCATCCCGACACCGGCTCCAACTACCACCTGAGATCCTTGTCCGAGAATTGCTGTTCGACACCACAACCGCATCCAGCCCATACGTGCACGAACTGATCGCTATAAGAACAGCCCAGTCCCAACCATTGTAAAGATTATCAATAACTTGTAATAAATCAGTGTATTCACTCCCAGTAAACACTGCTCCTTACACTGTCACTATGTTGAAATGAACTGTAGTTTGAGCTTTTCCCCATCTAGTTATTATATGTCTTATTTGTGTCACTTATGTTACTTGTATATTATTTGTAATTCGTAACCCATTCCCCAAATATGTAACTGTATATTTTCAGCCTTCTGGCTGCCAAGCTCTTTCAATAAACCGTTAATCATTATTATTATTACACACACACACACACTTTTACTCTTAAGTTTATACATCTTAAGAGTAACGTACAGCCATGTACAGGTTGAGATCAAATATGATGATTAGGTCAAGTTTATCCCATTAATGATTAGACGAGAGATAATCATTTATCTAATAATAATTCCTGAAATTTAACCTCTAGATTAACTTATTTAACCACAAGACAGATTTAGTGTATATTTGTGCATAATAATAATTACGTTTATATTACAAGGAGACGTTAAACCATCCAAGACAAGGGTTATGAACTTAAGTATCATAATATTGTCATTTCTCTTCCAACATCTTGCATTATGAGAGCCATTGTTGTCCAAGAGAACTTCAGACCAAAATATGTTCTTTGTTGCATTTAACCTTTGATCTCTTCCGTAAATTTAAAACAAAAAAGAGGAAAAGACTAAGAAATTGGACAAAGGGAATTAGATTAGAGTACTTTTTTGTTTTTGTTTTACCTTTTAGATCTCAACACGAGTGGTTCAGGTTTAGACTTAAAGGAATAAGACTCACTAACTATTTTGATTGGTAGATGAAGGACAGGAAGGAGGGAGAGAGAAGAGATTAAGTGAAAGACAGACGTGGAGAAAAGAGGGGAGGGAAGGAAGATAGAGAAGGATGAATGACAGTGGTGAAGGAGGAGGAGAAGGATTGTGGTGAGGGTAAAGAAGGTAGAGAGCAGTTTATTTGTGTGTGTGTGTGTGTGTGTGTGTGTGTGTGTGTGTGTGTGTGTGTAAGGTTGACCCCACAATGAAAGGAATACAAAGGGAAGACGATGGAGTACTAATGGAAAGAGAGGGAAACAAGAAGACGAAGAGAAACAGGAGGAATGAGTAGGAAAACAAGCAAAAGAAGAAGATGATGATGAAGGTGGTTGAAAAGTTCCTCATTTGATGTACCAGGAACATACGGCATATTTATTAAGGTTAAACGGACTGTAGGTTCATTTGTTGAGGTGGTGATGCCGTTAGTGGTGGTGGGTGATGGTAGCAGTGATAGTGGTGGCAATGGTGATGGGTGGTGGTGGTGACGGTGGTGGTGATGAGGACGGTGGTGGGTGGTGACGGTGGTGGTAGTGACGGTGGTGGTAGTGGTAGCAGTGATAGGCAATGGTGGTGGTGGTGGTGGTGGTGGTGATGATGGTGGTGACGGTGGTGGTGGTGGGTGACGGTGGTGGTGGTGGTGACGGTGGTGGTAGTGACGGTGGTGGTAGTGGTAGCAGTGATAAGTGGGTGGCAATGGTGGTGGTGGTGGTGGTGGTGATGGTGGTGACGGTGGTGGTGGTGGTGACGGTGGTGGTGGTGACGGTGGTGGGGTGGGTGGTGGGTGGTGGTGGTGGCAGTGATAGTGGTGGCAGTGGTGGTGGTGGTGGTGGTGGTGGTGGTGTGGGGTGGTGGTGGCATGGTGGTGGATTGGTGGTGGTTGATGGTGATTGGTTGGTGGTGGTGGCAGTGGTGGGGTTGGTGATGGTGGTGGTGGTGGTGGTAGCAGTGACAGTGGTTATTGGGATGGTGGTGGCAGTGTTGGTAGTGGTGCCTGTGGCTACATGACCTGCCAGTCATGGACACCGACCTCATCTATCTCATCTCTCTCTCTCTCTCTCTCTCTCTCTCTCTCTCTCTCTCTCTCTCTCTCTCTCTCTCTCTCTCTCTCTCTCTCTCTCTCTCTCCGCCATCCCATCACAATTCCACCTCCTCCTCGTTCCTCCCTTTATCAACTAACCTTCCTCCTTTTACTCCTTCGCTTTCTTCTTTCCTCCTTCACTCAATCTTTCATTCTCTCTCTCTCCCTTACTCTCTCACTCCCTCCTTCACTGTCTTACTCTCGTCCCCCTTTCTCTCCCTCCCTTTCACACGCTCTTTCCATCACTCCTCCTCTCCCTACTTCATTATTCCCCTGTTAGTTCTTCACACACTGAGCGTATACAGTATAATACAGCTCATTATTTTAACTAGGCGCACGGTGCGGTGGCTGAGTGTGGATACAACGCTCGACTCTTGTCCTCAGAGTCCCTGGTTGGCGCCCGGGGACCCGATCCATCCAGCTGTGAACAGGACTTATACAGTTGGGGAAGTGAATGTGAGCGAGTGCAGTGCCGACCAAAGGCTTAATAGTCTATGTACTGTGTCTATGTGCTGTATTTATGTATCTATGTGCTGTATCTATGTATCTATGTGCTGTATCTATGTATCGATGAACTGTATCTATGTATCCATGTACTGTATCAACACTACACCTTTATGGACCGTCAGGCCGATGGGTAAGGTATCTACTGTAAGACTGTAGTGAATCTTGTGGATGTAGTCGTTATATATCATAATGTTGGATAATATTGGACATAAATATATTATGTTTACTACCTCCCTGTCTCTCTTTCTGTGTGTGTGTGTGTGTGTGATTATAAGTTCTGTTGAGTGATACTGGGTGCCGGGAGTGATATTGGGTGCCGGGGAGTGATACTGTGTGCCGGGGTGATACTGGGTGCCAGGGTGATGCTGGGTGCCGGGGAGTGATACTGGTGCAGGGGGTGATGCTGGGTGCGGTGATGCTGGGTGCGGGGAGTGATGCTGGGTGCGGGGAGTGATACTGTGTGCCGGGGGAGTGATACTGGGTGCCGGGGTGATACTGGGTGCCGGGGGTGATACTGGGTGTCAGGGAGTGATGCACTGTGTGCGGTGATGCTGTGTGCCGGGGAGTGATACTGGGTGCCGGGGAGTGATACTGTGTGCCGGGGGTGATACTGGGTGCCGGGGAGTGATGGGTGTCAGGGGTGATGCTGTGTGCCGGGGTGATATTGTGTGCCGGGGTGATGCTGGGTACTGAGGTGTGCTGGGTGCCGGGGGAGTACTGGGTGCCGGGGTGATACTGGTTGCTGAGGGTGATGCTGGGTGCCGGGGTGATATTGGGTGCTGGGGGTGATGCTGGGTGCCGGGGGTGCTGGGTGTGAAGTGATACTGGGTGCGGGTGATAATGTGTGCCGAGGATACTGGGTGCCGAAGTGATACTGGGTGCCGAAGAGTGATACTGGGTGTCGAGTGATACTGGGTGCCGGGGGTGATACTGGGTGCCGGGGGTGATACTGTGTGCCGAGGGTAGTCTGGGTGTGGGGTGATACTGGGTGCTAGGGGAGTGATACTGGGTGCCGAGGTGATACTGGGTGCCGACGAGTGATACTAGGTGCCGGGGAGTGATACTGGGTGCTAGGGAGTGATACTGTGCCGGGGTGATACTGGGTGCCGAGGAGTGATACTGGGTGCCGGGGTGATACTGGGTGCCGAGGTGATACTGGGTGCCGGGGGTGATACATGTGCCGAGTGATACTGGGTGCGAGATGCTGGGTGCGGGGGGTGATACTGGGTGCTGAGGTGATACTGGGTGCGAGTGATACTGGGTGCCGACGAGTGATACTGGGTGCCGGGGTGATACTGGGTGCCGACAGGTGATACTGGGTGCGGGGTGATACTGGGTGCCGGTGATACTGGGTGCCGACGAGTGATACTGCGTGCGGGGGTGATACTGGGTGCGACGAGTGATACTGGGTGCCGACGGTGATACTGGGTGCCGGGGTGATACTGGATGCCGGGGTGATACTGGATGCGACGATTGATGCTGGGTGCCGGGGAGTGCAGGTGCCGAGGTGATATTGGTGTGGGAGTGATACTGGGTGCGGGGAGTGACTGGGTGCCAGGTGATAATGTGTGCGAGGGTGATGCTGGGTGCCGAGGTGATGTTGGGTGCTGGGGGAGTGATACTGGGTGCGAGTGATACTGGGTGCGAGGTGATGTGTGTGCCGAGGGTGATACTGGGTACCGGAAGTGATGCTGGGTGCGGGGTGATACTGGGTGCCGGTGATGCTGGGTGTCGGGGGTGATGCTGGGTGCCAGGGGTGATGCTTGTGCCGAGGGTGATAATGTGTGCCGAGGGGTGATGCTAGGTGCGGGGGTGATGCTGGGTGCCGGGGTGATACTGGGTGCTGGGGGTGCTGGGTGCCGAGGTGCTGGGTGCCGAGTGATACTGGGTGCCGGGGTGATGCTGGGTGCCGAGTGATACTGGGTGTCGGGGAGTGATACTGGGTGCGAGGTGATACTGGGTGCTGGGGAGTGTACTGTGTGCCGAGGAGTGATAATGTGTGCCAAGGTGATACTGGGTGGGGAGTGATACTGGGTGGGGAGTGATACTGGGTACCGGGGAGTGATATGTGTGTGCCGGTGATGCTGGGTGCCGAAGTGATACTGGGTGCCGGGGGTGATACTGGGTGCCGAAGGGTGATACTGGGTGTCGGGGTGATACTGGGTGCAGGGTGATGCTGGGTGCTGGGGTGATGCTGGGTGCCGGGGTGATGCTGGGTGCCGACGAGTGATACTGGGTGCGACGAGGTGATGCTGGGTGCCGAGGTGATGCTGGGTGCCGGGGGGTGATACTGGGTGCTGGGGAGTGATACTGGGTGCAGGGTGATACTGGGTGCCGAGTGATACTGGGTGCCGGGCAGTGATACTGGGTGCGGGGAATGATGCTGGGTGCAGTGATACTGGGTGCTGGGGAGTGATACTGGGTGCCAGGAGGTGATACTGGTGCCGAGTGATACTGGGTGCCGGTGATACTGGGTGCCGACGAGTGATGCTGGTGCCGGGGTAATGGGTGCGAGGTGATACTGGGTGCTGGGGTGATACTGGGTGCCGAGGTGATACTGGTGCCGACGAGTGATACTGGTTTGAGGTGATCTGGTGCCGACAGGTGATGGGGTGCCGGGGGTGATACTGGGTGCCGACGGTGATACTGGGTGCGGGGAGTGCTGTGTGCGGTGATACTGGGTGCCGGCAGTGATACTGCGTGCCGGGGGGTGATACTGGGTGCCGGTGATACTGGGTGCCGGCAGGATACTGGGTGCCGACGGGTGATACTGGGTGCCGACGGGTGATACTGGGTGCCGGGGGTGATACTGGGTGCCGACGAGTGATACTGGGTGCCGGGGGTGATACTGGGTGCCGACGGTGATACTGGGTGCCGGGAGTGCTGGATGCTGGCGTTGATGTTGGGTGCCAGGGGTGATGTGGGTGCAGGGGGGTGATACTGGTGCCGAGGTGATACTGGGTGCCGACGGATTGATACTGGTGCGAGGTGATACTGGGTGTCGGGGGTGATACTGGATGCTGACGAGTGATACTGGGTGCCGACGAGTGATACTGGTGCCGGGGGTGATACTGGGTGCCGAGGTGATACTGGGTGCCGACGGAGTGATCTGCGTGCGGGGAGTGATACTGGGTGCCGACGAGTGATACTGGGTGCCAGGGGTGATACTGGGTGCGGGGAGTGATACTGGATGCTGACGATTGATACTGGGTGCCAGGGTATTACTGGGTGCCGGGGTGATATCGGGTGCCGAGGGTGATACTGGGTGCCAAGGTGATACTGGGTGCCGGGGGAGTGATACTGGGTACTGAGGGTGATACTGGTTGGGGAGGTGATACTGGTGCCGGGGTGATGCTGGTGCCGGGGGTGATGCTGGGTGCCGGGAGTGATACTGGGTGCCGGGGTGATACTGGGTACTGAGGTGATGCTGGGTGTCGGGGTGATACTGAGTGCCGGGGTGATGCTGGGTGCCGAGGTGATGCTGGGTGCCGTGGGTGATGCTGGGTGCCGGGGGTGTCTGGGTGCTGAGGTGATACTGGGTGTCGGGGTGATGCTGGGTGCCGGGGGTGATACTGGGTGCCGTGGGTGATACTGGGTGTCGGGGGAGTGATACTGGGTGCCGAAGGTGATGCTGGGTGCCGTGGGTGATACTGGGTGCCGAGGAGTGCTGGGTGTGGGTGATACTGGGTGTCGGGGAGTGATACTGTGTGCAGGTGCTGTGTGCCGAGGTGATATGTGTGCAGTGCTGGGTGAGTGATGCTGGGTGCCGGGGAGTGATACTGGGTGCCGAGGAGTGATACTGGGTGCCGTGGAGTGATACTGGGTGCTGGGGGGTGATACTGGGTGCGGGGGTGATACTGGATGCCGGGGTGATGCTGGGTGCGGGGTGATGCTGGGTGCCGGGGAGTGATACTGGGTGCCTGGGGTGATACTGGGTGCCGGGGTGATACTGGGTGCCGAGGGTGATACTGGGTGCCGTGGGTGATACTGGGTGTCGGAGTGATACTGTGTGCCGGGAGTGATACTGTGTGCCGGTGATACTGGGTGCCGTGGAGTGATACTGGGTGCCGTGGAGTGATACTGGGTGTCGGGAGTGCTGTGTGCCGGGGAGTGCTGGGTGCCGGGGGTGATACTGGGTGCCGTGGGTGATACTGGTGCCGGGAGTGATACTGGGTGCCGGAGGTGATGGGTGCCGGAGTGATACTGGGTGTCGGGGTGATACTGTGTGCCGGGGTGATACTGTGTGTGAGGGTGATATTGTGCCGAGGGTGATACTGGGTGCCGAAGTGATGGGTGCCGGGGAGTGATGCTGGAAGGTGATACTGGGTGTCGGGGTGATACTGGGTGCCGGGGTGATACTGGATGCCGGGGAGTGATACTGGGTGCGAGGAGTGCTGGGTGCCGGGGTGATACTGGTGCCTGGGAGTGATACTGGGTGCCGGGGGGTATACTGGGTGCCGAGGGTGATACTGGTGCACGGGTGATACTGGGTGCCGAGGTGATACTGGGTGCCGGGGTGATACTGGGTGCCGGGGGGTGATACTGGGTGCCAGGGAGTTATACTGGGTGCGAGAAGTGCCAGTGTTAACCCAAATCTGAAGACCTGGTGGGCGACAGCTTCGACAAATAAAGCAAGTGTTTGGTTAGTGGTGAGGGCCTGTGTTCGCTCGTGTGTGCCTCGCCAAGGGAGTTTTATTGGTTGTGTTCAGAACCAGCGAGATATATTGAGGCAGTTTTGCGTCCGGGTGACAGATTGTGTTTCTTTCGTCTTTTGCCTCGACCTATAATTTTGTGTCTGGGATTATTTTAGATTTTAAGGGATTTTTATGTAATTCTTATTTATTACATCAGTAAATAACTTATTTTTTTTTGTTCTTCTCTTGGGTGTAAACATTATCTGCCTCAAGGGTGGTATTGTTAATCTTAGTTCATCGATGGATTAATGAACTGCCATATATTTGAGTTATTCGACTTAACTCTGGTGGAGGGACAAGAGATAGTGCACGAGTATCCCCCTAGGTCACCCGCACCTTCCTACCTGTGGAAATGTATAAGAACGCACACACACACACACACACACACACACACACACACACACACACACACACACACACACACACACAAAACAGGTCAGAGGGATTGTAATTCACTAGTTCGTCCGCCATAATAACATCCGCCTCTATTCCACCATAAAAAGTGTTCATTACTCACCACACACGGGTTCATATATCACCATATACCGTTCCCTCAGTTAATGACATATATCATCAGTAATATATCGCGTTACTGGGCATTCTATAAAACATTACCGTAATGATTGTTTCTAAATTGGAAATATATCCTAAAATAAAATCATTGTTGGTAACAGGAAACTTAAACGAGTGGAAAATGTTGTGTAATTGGGTTGTAACATTAGCTGTGATGGTAGATGTGCGAAAGAGATCAAAATAAGAGTAGGTCAAGCAAATAACAGCATTTAATAATGTAAAAGACCTTATGAAAAGGGACTTTAATTCCAATTTGAGAAAAAGGCTGAAATACTATATATGTCAAGGACTGTTGTATGGGTCAGAGGCGTGGGCACTTTCAGAAGACACCAGAGAGAGGTGTTATATAGGCGTAAGTTTAAAATAAATTACACTGACAAGAAAACGAAAAAAGTACTACGATTAACAAAAAAATAAAGATAAATACTTGAAATTTACAGAAAAAAAGACAAATATATACTTTGATCATATAATTAAGGGTAAGGATATAATAACAAATATTAATGGGCAAAGTTGAGGGTAGGAGGGCCAGGGGAAGGCAGAGACTGGGATGGATGAATGAAATTAAAAACTCCGTCCCTTAGATTTGAGGACGGAACTCTGATTGATTGAGTTTCTTATACAATTTCAATGATTGTTTTCATTTTTGTAGAAGCTTCCAGAATGTTATTACGATATAAATTCCTAAGAATCAACGTCTTTTCCACAGTCTGGTTTAAAGATTCTCGTTTATTATAGAAAACCAAACCTTGGTGGTAAATACTACAGACAGAGGCTAACATTCTTATATCTTAACTCTAATCACCATGAAAACAACAACAATGACAGACCTGAATCCCTCTTGTGCTCGTTTCCCCGACTTTTTATTACCGTATCTGAAGCCTGAGTCGAAACAGTAGCCAGGAGAGGGGTAACACCTTCCTTATATAGACGAACCTTTTATGAAGCACAATCTGAGACGCTGACTTGAACAAATGGTATCGAATGTTTGGTTAGTACAGCCGGAAGTTCTCTGTGTTCTCGGCTGCGTTTTTATCTCTTTGTTGTATTTCGCTTGAGTTCTCTTCTTTACGTTCTTTAGAAATACGATTGTGGATGCATTTTGTTTTGTCTATAAATATTAGACTAGCTGCGTTCTCTCTATATTTACGTATACACAAGGCTGCGTTCTCTCTATTAACACGATAATAACCACATTATCTACAGGGATGGAATTGGTCACGTTCTCTCCTCACACACTACCTTCTCCGCGTTCAATTGCTTCTACGATAAATTGACTCTTTTTCGCCGTGTGACAAATTTCTTTCATCTTGTTTCATAGCCCGTGTGTTTACAAGTGTTTCATATTTCCGTTTTATTTTTATATTTTTTTATATTTCATCAATTTGTTTTAGCGACATCTTCCATCATTTTCACTTCAGAGACAAGAAATGAATCGGATCACGTGAAGATTAATCACCCCGGGTTAGTTTAGGTTAGGTTCTCTGCCTTCCTCGAAACAACAGATGAAATAATTGTATACGTTTCCACGGTGTAAGTTGATGATATTCATAGATGATGTAACTTTTTGCATGTGTTTAGTCAGTCCAATGATAGAGATAATAAACGGGTTAAAATTGAAGGAGGAAAAAAGGGGAGGTGGTGGGCAAACAGACTGAGATGGCTGAATCATATTAAATGCTGTGGTTCCTAAAGAGATGGAAACTGTGGAAGGATTGGTAAAGACAGGTTGAAAACGTTTGGAATGGAGGGCCGTGGTTGTCGACCCTCAGATATTAGTGAATATTATATTATAACAAAGGTTAAGCATTATAGAGAATTATCAACGCTGTGAATTATGAGTTATCGTTAATAGATAAATTATTGACTAATAATGGTTAAAGTTATCAATGTATTATAAAACAAAAATCCCTGAAAATTATGACCATAAAATATTAAGTTGGTTGATCGTAAAAGTGTCTTATATTTCACGGTCATTTTCGCTCATTTCTCTCTGTTATTATCACGGGGAAAATAACCCGCCATTTTTTATTATATGACGCAACGAAAATAAAACATTAAAATTCATTTAATTAAAACCTTCTGCTTACAAATAAACAAAATAAAAGACTCTATCATGTCGTCGTGCTTGTGTTAGCTTTGTTGTTGGGTTTTATTAATCGTAAAATTAAACCCAAACAAGTAGAGTGTTTATTCTCACTGAGGAAATCTTTCTCTTATCGATTTATTCTAATTAAAATCTATTTATCATTCATTTATAATTCATGAGGTTGCAAGAGGATAATTATTACTGTAGATGTGTATAACGATAAGAGGTGTGTATACGCTTCATACATAATTCTAGTGTATAATGCTCATTCATAACGGTAGTGTGTATAATGCTTCATACATAACAGTAGTGTGTATACGCTTCATTCCATAAATGGTAGTGTGTATAATGCTTCATACATAACGGTAGTGTGTATAATGCTCATACATAACAGTAGTGTGTGTATAATGCTTCATTCATAACGCAGTAGTGTATAATGCTCATTCATAACAGTAGTGTGTATATTGTCATCTGGCAAACGGTAGTGTATAATGCTTCATACATAACGGTAGTGTGTATAATGCTCATACATAACAGTAGTGTGTATAACGCTTCATTCATAACGGTAGTGTGTATAATGCTCACATAACAGTAGTGTGTAATGCTCATTCATAACGGTAGTGTGTATAATGCTCATTCATAACGGTGGTAGTGTATAATGCTCATACATAACAGTAGTGTATAATGCTCATCCATAACGGTAGTGTATAATGCTTCATACATAACGGTAGTGTGTATAATGCTCATACATAACGATAGTGTATATAATGCTTCATACATAACGGTAGTGTGTATAATGCTTCATACATAACGTTAGTGTGTGTATAATGCTTCATACATAACGTTAATGTGTATAATGCTCATACATAATCTAGCGGTATAATGCTTCATACATAACGGTAGTGTGTGTGATGCTTCATACATAACGTTAATGTGTATAATGCTTCATACATAACGGTAGTGTGTATAATGCTTCATACATAACGTTAGTGTATAATGCTTCATACATAACGGTAGTGTGTATAATGCTTCATACATAACGTTAGTGTGTATAATGCCTACACATAAATCGCCACGTATAATGCTTCATACACCCAAAGTGTATAATGCTTCATACATAACGTTAGTGTGTATACGCTCACATAACGTTAATGTGTATAATGCTCATACATAACGCAGTAGTGTGTATAATGCTCATACATACCTGGGTAGTGTGTATAATGCTCATACATAAACGTTAATGTGTATAATGCTCACATAACGGTAGTGTGTATACTGCTTCATACATAACGGTAGTGTGTATAATGCTCACATAACGTTAATGTATAATGCTTCATACATAACGTCAGTGTGTATAATGCTTCATACATAACGATAGTATATACGCTCATACATAACGTTAATGTGTATACGCTCATACATAACGATAGTGTGTATATACGCTTCATACATAACGTTAATGTGTATAATGCTTCATACATAACGGTAGTGTGTATAATGCTCATACATAACGATAGTGTATAATGCTTCATACATAACGTTAATGTGTATAATGTTTCATACATAACGGTAGTGTGTATAATGCTTCATACATAACGATAGTGTATATAATGCTTCATACATAACGTGTTAATGTGTATAATGCTTCATACATAACGGTAGTGTGTATAATGCTCATACATAACGATAGTGTGTATAATGCTTCATACATAACGTCAGTGTGTATAATGCCTGCGCAGATAACGATAGTCTGTATAATGCTTCATACATAACGTCAGTGTGTGTATAATGCTTCATACATAACGTCAGTGTAATGCTCAGATAACGATAGTGTATAATTATCATACATAATGTTAGTGTGTATAATACCATACATAACGTTAATATAATGCTCATACATAACGTTAATGTGTATAATGCTCTCATACATAACGTTAATGTATAATGCTCATAGATAACGTTAATGTGTATACGCCTATACATAACGTCAGTGTGTATAATGCTCATACATAATGTTAGTGTGTATAATGCTCATACATAACGTTAATGTGTAATGCTCATACATAACGCTAATGTGTATAATGCTTCATACATAACGATAGTGTATAATGCTCATACATAACGTTTAATGTGTATAATGCTTCCATACATAACGGTAGTGTATAATGCTTCATATAACGATAGTGTATATAATGCTCATACATAA